CTCTTGTTACCCAGGCTGGAGTGCAATGGCGTGATCTCAGCTCACCGCAACCTCAGCCTCCCGGGTTCAGGCAATTCTCCTGCCCCAGCCTCCTGAGTAGCTGGGATTAGAGGCATGCGCCACCATGCCCAGCTAATTTTTTTTTGTAGTTTTTAGTAGAGACGGGGTTTCACCATGTTGACCAGGATGGTCTCGATCTCTTGACCTCATGATCCACTTATTTTCTTTTAGATATATTTAGCCACTGCATCTGGCCTTTGTTGCCAAATATTTTTTTCCTTGTTACTCTAACTACTCCGTCAATTTGGATCTTTTAATGGTCTGGCAAATTTTGAATGATTGCTTGGAAGATGTGAAACCTTGTTCCTTAATCAGGAAGATTTGGGTGAGTCTTATGGTATGAGAAAAGAAGGCACATCTCTTCTAACCAGCACAACAGGATTATAGCACGATTACACATCTTCAACATTTTTATTTGAAGAATAATGATGTGTTTGGTGATGAACAAATACTGTAAATTGAGAAGCATGGGAAGTTTCCACTCTTTAAGAATGTTTTCATACGAAGGAGGAAGGAAAGCTTACTTTTTTGTGGTTCTTGAGAGACGTTATATTAACCATTTGTTAAAAATTGGATTTATGAAAAGGATTGGCTTCTAAGAGTATTCTTCACAAACTGGCATCTTTTGTGTGATGTTATTGTAGGTTGTTTAGCAACATATCAAAATAGTTTTATAAAAAGATTAATATGTGTTTCATTAATCCTAAGGAGAGCTTTCTGAAATGCATTTTTAAAAATAAATAATTAACATCATTCTGTGAAATTTGTGACTTCTTAGGGTGGGAAAGAATTAAAAAAGAAGCTATCTTTTCAAACAATTTGTGATTTAATACTGGCTGGTCAAGTGAGTTGAAAAACAGTATAATTTGTATGTTACATTATTTTGAATGCCTTTTCACTCTCTTGGGAAGTTGGCTAAGCCCACAGTCTTTCTCTCATGGTAAATGGCTCTAAAACTTTGATCTTCTGAAACCAGTTTGCCAGATGTAGCAGAAAGAGCATGTGTGTGACCTTTCATGTGCCAATTCAACCCGGCTCATGGGAAACTAAATTAATCCTGCATGACTTTTATTTCTAGGCATTACAGCAGAAGTTCTGGTGGTGACCTCTTTCGATGAACTGCAGAGAAGGGCCTCAGAAGCAAGAGGGAAGATTGTTGTTTATAACCAACCTTATATCAACTACTCGAAGACGGTGCAATACCGAACACAGGGGGCGGTGGAAGCTGCCAAGGTGGGGGCTTTGGCATCTCTCATTCGATCTGTGGCCTCCTTCTCCATCTACAGGTTTGTCGTAATGTTCATTTGAAATCCTTTCAAAAGCAAGGGTTTTCCATGAAAGAAAAGCCCATATGATAAACAAACAAACCATTCAAATGAAAATACTGATTGTTCATTGAATTTCCCTCCACCCCCATTCCACATTTGATCATTTGGCCATTTGTTTGTAATATCTTCTTTGGCTTTTCTGGATTCCAAGCATCATTTGTACATAAAAAGCTTTAAAGATTTCCACATCTACACTGATCCCATTACATTCCTTATATAACTAATATATTATGTATTTTCATTGGAGGAAGAACCGAGTTCATGTCTGCATTTCATCAAAGCTTCCTAATGACTTCAGAGGAAGCCAGGCTGTTTTCCATGTTGCTAGAGAAGTGGAGAAGAAAGAGACTGGGTGACATGATGGGGGCCATCTATGGTAGTGAAGAGTTAAGGAATTAGAGGACCTTGGATACAGACTTGGCTCTGCTTCTGAACAACTGTGTGGCCTTAGGAATGTTTCTTAAACCTCTCTAAACTTCTCTAGGCCTCATAATTTTCTTCTATTAACCAGGAATGAATAATAATAAGTGTACAAAATAATTTTCAGATTAAATGAGGTCAACTTGAAAAAGATACTTAATTATCTGTAAATGATTATCTAAAAAGGTCCATATAAATGTTTGGTAATATTGTTTGAGAGTAACATAAGACTTGTCCTTTTCTTTGTAGTCTTGATTGAGGTAATGCCAAAGAACTGTATTGGCCTTCAGTCCTAGGATGAAATTCAGTATTACAGTGGATGAAAAGTCTAAAAACTGACATGTACATGTTCAGACTAGTTTAACAGCTATTATGGTAGTGTCCCACGTTAAGGATAAAATATTTGAGAAACATGGTAAAAGAAGCATAACTTTAATGTTATAGTCTGGTCTAAGATTTTTTTTAATGCAAAAATAATAGCAGATAGGGTTTATTTGGGTCTCAAGACTGGATTTTTATTATCTATTGTAAAGGGATGTTTATTCTGTACAATTGCTGTTTGGAACTGGAGACACAGCTGCTTGACCTTAATTAACACCCTACACCCCTGAAAATAAAAATTACTGGGGAGCATATGTCAGCAGCTAGGAAACCCAGTCAGAGGGGAGTTGTACAAAAGTGCAGAGAAAAGGAAAGAGACATTTTCCTTTTACAAGGATAAGATATCTTCCCAGGGGAGGAGGATGCGGCATGTTAAAACTACTTGTTAGAAGTTTTATGACTAGTTACATTGATGTCATAGTGCTAAAAATAATGTCCTTTGTGGGATCTTTCGATGTTTATGACTGGTGAAATAATGACTGGACCATATTCGTTTTGATGGTTAAGCTTCCCAGGAGGGAAGTCCTAAAATGGCTAGCTTACTTCGCATAATACCTCCATCAACCCTTGGAATAACATACTCAGCAAGCTGTGGGCATTCACCATGATTTCACTGGTCATGAGACTTAAATTATGGAGCTGGTCTGTTACTTTGTGAAACTGGGTGATTGCCAGAAACCTTTATTTAAGAACTACTACTCATAAGACTAATAAATTCCCAAATGACTTAATGCACAGTAATTTGCCAGGATTCATTGGCGTTATTTTTTTTTTCTGGCATAATGAAGACATCTGGAAACCCAAGCTACAACTTAGGAGTACCAGAAGAATTGTCCAGCAAGGGACTTCAGAATCTGTTGCTAGCTTCTAAGGTTTGAGGTTAGCATCTTGTAGTGTGTATTAAAAGGACCTTTTTCCTCATATCCCTATATCTAGACTGATTATAATGTTTTACTGGTTTTATAGCCAACCACATTTCACTGGACTCTCAACTGGTATAATTCTATTCTTTCAACATTTGTAAATACATAATAACATTGGACTTTACATAGTACTTTAGAATCTTTCACGTTACTTTATTTGCTCTGAAAAGAATTCAGTGGCCCATGCAGAAGGGTCATTATCAGTCCTATTTTTTGATAGGGAAATAAAAGTTCAGACAATTAGACACATTAACATGTATAAGTCTTGCCTCCTGAGAAATGAAAACTAAAATAAAATGTATGTCTACTTCTCGTTTACTGTTTTTAGAACTAAGTTTTCTTGATGAGTAGTTTCTATTTCTATCTCTAATTCCTCATTTTCATTCACTCTCCAGACTATTATAGCCTGGCTTTTGCTAGTACTGAAACAGGACTTGTCAGGGTCACAAATAGCTGCCTGTCAGAGTTAATGGAGATTTTTCAGGCCATCATCTTACTTCACTTCTCTGAAGTTCTCACCTCCATCGACTGCATTTTCAGCATTTCTTCTCTTTGACCTCCGTGATTTCTTTCTCGTGTTTTCTCTCTCTTGCTTGCTTGCTGTTACTCTCACTCTTGTACCCTTTCATCCTCTTCTCTATTTCTTCCCTGTATCCCTGGCTTCTCACTGTGACTATTTTACCTGAATATCCTCATCATGCATCTATAAATATGGCTCATGCTTGTGAAGATGTGACTTCAACCACAATCTACATTGTGGCAATTTCCAACCCCTACTCTTCCATCCATACCACTGCTGTGAGCTCTAGGTCTATATATTTACCTGCCAGTGGATTCTTCTTTTGGATGTTCCATAGCTATTTCAGTTTCATTTTTTTCACAATTAACCTTATCCTTTACCTTCTAAGTCACATGGTCCTTTATTCCTTTTTTCTCTTGCTGTGTCCATCATTTCTAATAGTTACAGAATCTCTTAGGTTCTGCTCTTTATCAGTCATTTCAACGATTACACATTGAACAGTTCCTTTTCCCAGCATGACTCCACATTCTAGCAGTCAGGAATCACTAATACTTCTCCCACATACCATGTTTCCTCAGAGTTTCATGACTTTGCATATGCTTTCTCCTCTGCTACCCTCCATTTCCCTTCTCACTGCCACACACTATCTTTTAAGAGTCATTGCAAGTGTTTCTTCCTCTGTGGAGCCCTCCCTGATATGCACTTGCAGCCCAGATGAGTTGCCTCTTTGTTGTATTCCCACATCGTCCTGTGCATGCTCTGTATCATAATGTCTTGGAAGTATTAATAGTTTTGGTTCGTGGTTTGGTAGAGTAGACTTACTGTTGTAACAAACAGCTTCAAATCTCAGTCACTTCACATAATAGGAGTCTCTTGCATATAATTCACATAACAGTTCCAAGGGAGTGGTCAGAATGTGGCCCTCTGCTCCTTACTGTCTGTGGCTTTATCATTTTTGAGATCCGAGTTCTCTGCAGAGTCTTCTACATTCATCTGGCAATTAAGGGGATAGAGACAGAAAGTCAATAACCTAGATGGGGGTTTTCCATGGTTATCCATTATCTAGGCCTGGATATGGCACACCTCACTTCTGCTCATATTCTCCTGGGCAGAATGCCATTCCATAGAGGCCAGGAAATTTGGTCTATCTTTACGTCCTGGTGAAAGGAAAGTGAATTTGGTGAAATACTGCCCAGTCTGCCCCAATTGGCTGTCTCCACACTAGACTGTAAGTTCCAGAAAGACATAGATTCTGTGTATTTTTTAACATCTGGGTTCCTATCATCTAGTATAATGTTTGATGCATAGTAATAACTTAGGAAATGCCTACCGAAGGAATGAATTTGTCTGAGGATATAGAGTAAAACATGGCAGGGGTCTCATAACAAACCACCTGACCCAGTTCCTAGTGCTCTCTGACCAAACTTTGTAACCTCTGTACAGTAAGTTTAAAACAACTTGAAGTTTTAGGGCACTTTGCTCTGTATTTGGAGGTAAATATTCAGTTGCCCAATATGCCACATTATACATTTTTCTGCCACAACACTTATGAACAAAGATGTTTTGAGTTGCTGATTAAGGAAAATAACTCCCTTCTCTCTGAAATGTATTTCACCCTTAGCTCTATGGGACTGGGTGTTACTGGATTTCATCTAAAAATATTATAGATGCCAGCAACACTAGAGAACATAATATATATTGTAGTTTGTTGCCGTTTGGATTCTGTTTGAGAATCCCCTGGAGGGCAGTTTGATTTGACCAGTTTGATTGGACACTTTTCAGTGCAGTCATCAATATCAGCTGTTCTGGATCTGCAGCGGTCACATGGTTACGTGACAGATGTCCTAAAAAATGTCCATTGCTTGTTGCCAGCATCGTCTCCAGGTTTGTTATTGTTATTCTGTGTATTGCCGTTATTGGTGTTCTTGGGCTCAACTTCAAGGAGAAGATCTTTCCTTTATTAATGCTTTTCTAATGATGCTTCTTTCCTTGACCATTTTCAACTGAGACCCCCCCCCCCGTTAGAGCTTAAAAGTTTTTCTGAAGGTAAAATAGCTTTCTTTGCCTTTGTCATGGGAAAATATTTTAAGAATAAGTACAATTAATTAGAGATTTAATTCCCACAAAGGAAAGCTTCTCTACAGAACTATTTGTCTTATATTATTTCTCAAATTTATCATATTGTTTAGTATATATTTCTTGAGAGCTTACAGTTGCTCAGAAATTTCCAAGTACTAGTATTACTAAGGTGAATTCCATATTTTCTTTGTCCTCAAGAAATATTTTATGTAGCCAAAAGAGAAGGGAGTAAAACATATAAGTGATTAGTGTTATTTGTTTTATAGTTGGTGCCAACTGAATCATTGGGGGAAAGGGATAAAGGAAGGAAATTACTATTTATTAATCATCTACTTTGCATTATTCTAAAGGGTTAAAGAGTTTGTCTCAATTAATTCTTTATGTAACCCAATAGAAGTAGATACTGTTTTGGTATCTCTTTTACTGAAGGAGAGACAGATTCAGAATGATTAACCACTTATGCTACATATCTATTGAAAGAACTAGGATTCAAATTTAGCCTCTGGCTCTAATTTCCATGCTGTTAGATTGCACCAAGCAACCTGGAGAGCTAATGCTATAGGAATCTAGAGAAGATAACAGAATTCTGATTGGGGCTGGTTGCACTGACAGTGTGGATTTGGGGTGTGTTCAAT